AGAAGGGTTAAATTAAAACCAAAAATATTACATTGCTCTCAAAAAAAAAAACTTAATGTGCCTGGCTAATATATTTGAAATAAAACATGTAAAAGTCGAAAAGTATGAAAAGAATACTTCAAGATTTTCAAAATGTGTGTTTTAAATTTTTAGTCAATTCATTTAAAACTCACAAAAATTGATTACATAAAAGAATGTAGGATTTTAGTCTTTGCAACAAACTCATATTTTGTAATCCCAATATTTTTGCAAGCTGATGGTGTAAACCTTTGCTATTTTAAACTTTTTAACAGACTTAATAGTTTTAAACATTTTATGTATTTTATTTTGGGTTACAAAGCAATAGGCATTATAAAATTTGAGTTTGTGGCATGAACTCAGTTCCTTTGCTCACCAAAAATCTGAACAGTGCCTAGATAATATAATTCAAATTGGAAGGAAACAACATAAAAAAATCCATTTTTAAAAAATGTGTCTTTGATATTAATCATATTTATTTTTAAACAAACACTAACAAAAGTTCATAGATACAGGGTTGAAACAATGGATGAGACTGTAAAGATGGCCTGAAACTTTTAAATATAAAAATTCCAAGTTTTCTGCAGCTTTAATGAGAATGCAGTGAGAATCATAAATATAAGGAAACAGACAATATAAATTCAGTAGAGTCGTCTCTGAAGTAGCATACTTTGGGGGTATCCCTGTAAAGAACAGAGGGATTAAGGTTGATGAATTAATTGATGAATGTCAGGATCGGCTTTCCTACTTCAAGTATTTAATTTCAATAATCGGCCAGTCATCACTACTGGGTTACAGCCTAGACCATGTGAACTTTAGATAGATAGTTAGATATATAGATAGATAAATAGATAGATAGAGTTAGATATTTATAGATATATAGATAGATAGATATACAGATAGATAGAGAGATAGATACATAGACTGATATATAGATAGATGGATATATAGATAGATAGATAGATTGATAGATTGATAGATAGATAGATAGATAGATAGATAGATAAATAGATAGATAGACAGATAGATAGTTAGATAGATAGATAGAAAGTTAGATAGATAGATAAATAGATAGATAGATAGATAGATAGATAGATAGATAGATAGATAGATAGATAGATAGATAGATAGATAGATAGATAGATAGATAGATAGATAGATAGATAGATAGATAGATAGATAGATAGATGGATAGATAGAGATAGATAGATAGATAGATAGATAGATAGATAGATAGATAGATAGATAGATAGATAGATAGATAGATAGATAGATAGATAGATCGATCGATAGATACATAGATAGATAGATAGATAGATAGATAGATCGATCGATAGATACATAGATAGATAGATAGACAGACAGACAGATAGATATATAGATAGATAGATAGACAGACACCCAGACAGACAGATAGATAGATTGATAGATAGATAGATAGGTAGATAGAAATTTAGAAAGATAGATTAAACGATAAAAAGATTACTTAAATTGAAAGTGAGATATGAAACTTTATAGGTTATAAGAAATTATTGTAAATGAGCAAAAATAATTGTTGATTATCAATACTTACATAAGCTTAAATAATTTCCTTATTTTTTGGGAATATTTCATAAATTATGCTTTTCATCTCTTTTATATTATAGACCCCACCTTGAAGTTTGTTTTAATTTATAAAAAATACCAAATCATTCTTAGATATTTAAACCAAAAACCATGTCTCAGCGAAAGTGTGAAAAAACTGTCCCTAGCCCTTGACAATGAAAAAACTAAGAATACACAGTTTTTTTTGTACTGTCATGCTTTTCATTATTACTTACAACAATCATAGATTAAAAATATCAAAGACAATTTTATCAAAAAAAAACTGAATTAATAGGTCTAAAATAATTTTAATCAGAGAAGGCAACAGTTTGAGCTGGAATGAGTTTATTATTGGCTAGTAGAGAACGATTGATAGAATGTTACTCAAATTGCATGTACATTCTAGGAAATAATTAATCTATGCTGAAACGCTCACAGATTGGACAAAGAAACACCTAGTTATATCTGTACTGTCTGAAAAAAGTCTTTGTCCAGTACAGGTAAAATGATCGAGAGTAACTTAGAATGAACCTTCTGTGACAAAATTAGTCTATAGCTTAACACACACAGATTGGACATGAGAACCTCTATCTGTATCGTCTGGAATATATGTATTTTGTAATCTATAGCTGACTAGAATACACAGAACTACGTGGTACCGTAAACATGTTTTACAACTAGAAAAGAAGGGGTGAGGAGGAGGTCGGTTTTGTAACCAAACTTTATTAGAACTTGTTAAAAAATGTTTTTGATTGTTTAAGTGACAGGGTGTGGGGGGGGAGGGTGTATGTAGATAATTTTTTTAGTTTAGTTCTACAATTCATGATTAAGGGTGTTCGCAGACTCGCAGTTATCAGTTTTCATTAGGGGTCTATATTTAATTATACTTTATTAATATTTTTATTTGATTTGATTGAGTGCTGAAGATTTCAACCATAAATCTCTTAATTATCAGTTGACATTTTTTTTTCTAAAGTTAGTATTTCTTTAAAGTGTATTCATAAAAAGTTGGAACAAAATTTAGCTGAGACAGGAAAAACACGAAAGATGAGAAAAGTCTACGATTATTTGTCTCTAATAATTCAAACCACAGAATTCAGACTGCTTCAAAAAGTTCATATTTTCAAGACTGGATCCACTTTTGATTTAACCATACAAACAAACTCACATGTACTTTTTTTGTAGCCCTATACATGTACATTTTATGTATAAAGCACTTGTTTTTAGTTTTTCTTTAAAGTTGTAATTTACAAAAGAGCTTTCATTCATTGGATTACCGTGAAAGAACTATTTTATAAATGAACGGCCAACATATTGCAGAACAGACAAACACTTATTAATAGAAACAACAAAGACCCAGAATGAAAATATTTTTATTGTATCATCGTAATACATGATGTTCTTTTGTTTAAAAATGAAACGGATTCGTCATGATTTAATTCTCATAGGCTGTAACACCATACCAGTCATTAGTATTATATATATATATATATATATATATATATATATATATATATATAGACTGTAACACCATACCAGTCATTAGTATTATAGGCTGTAACACCATACCATGTCATTAGTATTATATATATATAGGCTGTAATACCATACCAGTCATTAGTATTATATATATATAAAAGCATGCATGTTCTTCTAATTTTTTGATTTAGTGCAACCATACAAATTGATGAATATTGCCATTTTTTTAAATTAGGTTGCTAGTCACTTTGGTGTATTCTTGAAACAATTATAAAAATTTTTGGTTCAAAATGCAAAAATGGTTATTTTCTACGATTTTGAATACCCCTGACGTATGGTATTCAGCTTGGTAGTTAATGAATTATTATTATTAGTCATATATAGTTTGATATAGAATTCTTATATATATATACTAGAAATTCAAGGCGCTTCGCGCCCTTCTTTCTAGCCTTAGAGGGCGCTTCGCGCCCATCTCCTAAATTAATTGTGAACATGTTCTCTTTGTGTACATCGTAAAACACCCCAGGAGGTCCTTGTTTTACAGGTTCAGGTCCAATACAGTTGTGGCAGTTCCTCTTGGAACTCTTGACAGATAAGACGTGTCAGAGCTTCATAGCCTGGACAGGGGATGGATGGGAGTTTAAGATGATAGATCCTGATGAGGTAGCCAGAAGATGGGGAAACAGAAAGAATAAACCAAAGATGAACTATGAGAAATTATCCCGAGGACTCCGATATTATTATGATAAAAACATTATTCTAAAAACTGCCGGTAAACGGTATGTTTACAGGTTTGTCTGTGATCTGCAAAATCTTCTTGGTTTCTCCTCATCGGAAATCCACGCTATGGTGGACTTTAGAACTGCAGCTGAGAGAACAAAGATAGAAGGATAGAAACTAAATTTATTTTTTTATTTGTAGTCTTTCAAATTTTATTGCCATCCAACCTAAAATTGGCCAAAAATAATGTTAAAAATGGCCATAATTTGTTTTACTTGCGTTGATCTCCTTGAATTGAAAACTCTGTGATGAATATAGACAAATTTGAATTTCAACAGTGGCGTCTCATATTGTATCTATGTAAGTTACAACATTCCAAAGGAAACATTTTGTCTAAAATTTGTGTATTTTTATGCATTTGTTATGTATGCCGGAAAAATAAATAATCTTAATACCGTTTCCACCTGACAGCCCCATTAATATTTTCATAGAATTAAAAAAAAGTTTTTGCATTTCATATTGAAGTCGAACTTGTCATTTCGTGCATTTATGGCTGAGGCTTGGTTCACTTTACACAACAGCTCAGACATTTAACCCATTATGTGCTTTGTAGCTTTACCCAATAAACTGTTATAAATGAAGAATAAAAACCTTTATTGTGTATAATCATTGTGTTGGGTAACAGGAATCGTATAAAAGGCATATTTGACATTTGCCAGGAAAAGAAGTATGAATGGAGAAGAAAAAAATAGAAACTTTCTTTGACAAAACTGTATAATTCAGATCATGTGAAAGTTTGACTGGCCGGGTGACTAAAAAATGCATTTCTCAGTTTAAGATTATTTTTAAAAAATCGTAAGAAAATTTAAAAAGTAGAGGGGGGGAGGGGGATTTAGAAAATTGCATGCTATCAGTGGTGGCCGCAAAACTACTTGATTGACAAAAATATCTGTATTTTCAGGTTTATTTGGTGAATTATCCACAATAGAGAGCTGGAAGGTATGAGTTTAGTCCAATTTTATCGTACACAGCAGGGTTCCATGGGAAATTTCGTACAGGTGTAGCCCCAAGCAATTGGGGGCCAATCCGACCAATGACAGGCCGTCCCGCTGGGTTCCGACCTATGAGAGACGAGGCGCAGTTCGCGCATTTATCTGACGAGTTCATACACATATACCCCGGCAGATATACCGCTACTGTTGCCTGCTCAGTTGTGCACCGGTTCTCAGAGTGAAAGCCCGTGTTGAAGTAACTCTGGATAAAGTTGATTCCGGAAAATTTGAAAACAGATATTTTGGTCTGAGGTTATGGGGAGTCCAGCAGGCTCTTGGCTTAGTGATACTATGAGGTAAACATTAAAGTTTATTTATATTTTTAAATTAAAGTTTTTTATGTTTGTTTTATGTTGATATATTAGACAAAGTAAACATTTGTGTTGTTCAGCGATGCGTGAATTTTCCCCAGAAACAATTTTTTTACGAAGAAGATGTCTGATTCAAGTTTATATTTGCAGTGTGGAGTCGAGTCCAGATTTCTACGCTCTACCAAGCATGAAGTCAACGTTGGGTCTTCTCGAGTCTAGAAACATGGACATGTACTCGGACAGAATGCGCAAAGTGCCGAGTTTAAGTGATTTGTCCGAAAGTAGCAGTGGAGAAGTGGCAGTGAATAATGATTCGCGCCATTTTGGAGATGTGTTGAAGACGACATATGTAACCTGGGATAAGGATAGTGAGAGGTTAGGTATACCTCGAGATCCTAGATTATGGAGCCAGGATCATGTGTCTCATTGGCTCTCCTGGGCTATCAGAGAATTCTCCTTACAAGGTCCACATATTGATACATTTGTAACAAGTCTAAGTATGAGTGGCAGACAAGTTTGTTCAATGTCTAAAGAAGAATTTATCTCCAGAGCTCCTCCGTTCATGGGAGATATACTCTGGGCACACCTTGAGATACTACAAAAGGACGTGGACAAGGTTGAGAATGCTCCGACAAACTTTTCCGAACCCTACCATGTACCTGATCAGACCCACAGAACCTACACTCAGCTCAATCCTATCTCACCTTTGGGTCAACTTCCAACCTCAAACTCTTACTTAAACTCAAGGATCGATTACTCCCAGCCTAATCCAACAGATACTACTCAGTATGGGAGTTATCCTGCTCCTCAGGTCAAACCTCCTCCTCCTCCAAGGGTACCTGTTTACGGTCAGTATGACGGGTATGGATACCCGCATACATACCAGCCAGAGCATTGGGGTCAACATGATCTCTACCAGACNAAGGATGCAGGAAATAAATATCGAATGAAGAATTGTTTTTTATGTTGACTTTAAATTTAAAAACGAATAATTTTTTTTAACTGAATGAGTAATAGCACAAAAACTTACCAATAACTTTTTTTAAATTAAAATTTCAATTTTTTGATGTTTTTGAACTGAACTAGCTCAATTCAGGTTTTAAATAGATGTCAAAAGTGAATTCAGAAGAAATATAAAATCCCCAAAAGCGAGGATTGACATGACATTTAAGTGTAGTAATGAAAAAAAAAGTTTTAAATGGTTTTTAAATTATAAATTCTAAGCACAAATTTAAAAATCTCAATCTCAAAGATAAATTGATTTGCCATAACATTTTTATTTTGGCCATAAAGTAATTTTTTTATTTCAGTTCACCAGTCCCCTCAATTGTACTGCATACCTTAATGTGTTTAGTTTTCTAATATATTTTTCCTAAAATCTTAAAATGGCGGAAAATTCAATATTCCAAAAAGACGTTAAAAATTGAACAGGTGCGAGACTATGGCGCTTGAAGAATTTGTTCTAAAATTAAGATTAATTTGATTCTGTTTTTCTGCTGGTTTGATAACCATTTTTAGTTAGATGGATCTCAATTAGTCTCCCTAGTTTTAGGTGTATAATTTTGATGCTTCGCTCAAACTTTTTGTGGATTTTTACTCCATAATTTTACCGCGTTGGGGTGTGTGGGGTTGAAACAGCTGTTTTAAAATTTGGCGGGTTTTTAGAAGCCCAGGTGCTTTCAAAGGTCCTGGGGGGTCTTCAGGGAGGTGAAATGGAAATTATTCATTCATTTATTAGGTTCAGATGTAATTTTATCTCGTTCAAAATTTCCATTCCTCAATTTATCTTCATTTTCAAAATATAGATTACTTTTCATCAGATGTGAAAAATGTACTGAAACCTTTTTTGGTAAGATAGAAATTTTTAGACGTTCTCAATCTTAGCCCTTCATTTTGAAGAATTATTAATTCAAAGTTGAATTTGTAATATGCAAAAAAAAACTTGGTTGTTTTCATACTCGGGAGTACAATTGAAAAAGAGGAGCTGCGAGGTCACAAAATTTTTTTCCCTTATTCTTAGTTGAGTTTAGATTCTAGTGGTATACGTTAGGATGAATTATTTGAAGGATGAATAAGTTAATTAATGAGAAGATGAAAAGATGAATGAATGAATAAATGAATGAAGTCCTGAGCTATAAATCATTTTCTCCCGGGTAAAGTAACACGACCCAAAGATAGAGAGGTTGGCAGACATATAGATAGATAGTTAGATAGATGATAGAGATATATAGATAGATAGATGTCACGGAAAGATAGATAGATAGTTAGGGTTGGCATGACCCCGAGCGGAAGTGAAGAGTATTAGGTGCATCATCTTCCACACTGCAGTTTAGATAGATAGATAGTTATTTAGATAGATAGATAGATAGATAGATAGATAGATATGTAGATAGATAGATAGATAGATAGATAGATAGATAGATAGATAGATAGATAGATAGATAGATAGATAGATAGATAGATAGATAGATAGATAGATACATAGATACATAGATAGATAAATAAATAAATAGATAAATTTTCTAAATTTACTAAAGATTGCCCTGCTAAGTGTTAGATACTTTTCATTTCACTATAAGAGGAGTTTCAATTTACTTTAGTTTGGATAAAATTGTTCCTTTAAATATTAATATTCTAGTTGAAAGTGTGATATGAATACCCCTGTATAATCAGTAATATGTAATCCTGTATTATTCTTCACAGTGTTTAACCATAGTATGAATATTCTCACCCTCCCATTGGGACAAAGGGTAGAATAGTTTATAGACCAGGTCACCATATATAATCTAATAGTTTCAATGGTTTCAATAGTCTCAATGGTTTCAATGGTTTCAATGGTTTCACACTGAGTTAGGCCACAGAACAACAAGCTGCAGATTAGTATTTGTAACAAGTTGACCGCAAAATTATCTCCCTCCCCCCTCCTACCTCCATTCTCCTTCCTACTTCCATCCTCCTATCTCCATCTTCCTACCTCCATCCTCCTACCTCCATCCTCCTACCTCCATCCTCCTACCTCCATCCTACTACCTCCATCCTACTACCTCCATCCTACTACCTCCATCCTCCTAACTTCATCCTCCATCCTCTATCCTTCTAATTCCATCATTATTAGATCCCTCCTCCCTTGAGCATGAATCCCCCCGCCCCTGAAACAGGTGGTGAATGGCTGACATTGGATCTACAAATATATTTTAACGGTTTTCTCCTTGGTAATGGTATTTAGATATATAGCCTATAGGTGTGTTTAGTTATTTAGTTAGCTCGATAGCTAGAAACTGATTAATGCACTAAATGCATAAAAATATTTAGGTATTTATCCCTTCCATCTCTTCCATCCCTTCCATCCCTTCACGGCACCCCCATCCAAAAATCTAAATTCCTAACTTACATATTTGCCTCGCCTTTAATCTAAAAAAAATCTAAAAACTATAATTTACAAGACGTTTTCAAGATATTAATAGTAATACTGTTTAGTTCAGAAAAAAAGAAGTTTACATAACCATATCACCTTTGATTACAAATAGTCCGACCAATCTGATCAAAAATCGTCTTTGGCACAAACGTCCTATTAAAGGACCGTCTTTGTCAGTTAAAGATGGGTATGCCAGATTCCCAAATGTGCCCCTTCAATCTGTATCCTATGTGAATCCGATATGGCCATTCTTTAAACGGAGATAAACTGAAAAATAAGTTATCAGTCTCTTTCAGCCCCATTTCAATGAAACAGATGACCCCCTCTTTATGATAACACAAGACATCCCCCCCCCCTTTCGAAGTACTTGTATGCTGCGGTCCCTTTTCGCCTGTTGCATATCAAATGCATGTACCCTATTGTCCCTTAAAAACCTGCAGATGCCCCTAAGGTCCCTCTTTCCGGAAACATTATGCTAGGTGAACGCCCCTAACGTATGGCACAAGCCAAGGGGCAAAAACTGTTGAAAATATGGGGGGGGGGGGAATTATTAATAAAAACTTTAGGAACAAATGTCAACCAAAGTGGAAAAACTCTAGAATCACAAAAGTGGCCAAAATACCCCCTTTTTTATGTAAACAATAAACGCTCCTTAAAATTAAGAGAATTTTTTTATTTCCACCCCTTCAGATCCCTTCATATGGCTTAATTTGCTGCTTTATAATGTGCGCGGGGTGAATATCAAAGAGGAAGGCATGTGTGCCAAAAAGGAAGATTTCAAAAAGGATAAATCTTTTTAAAGTGTTTTTGATGAGGTCTTGCTTGCCTAGAATCTTGAAAAATAATAATATTGTCGTTTTCGATTTCTTTCTTATTGCTAAATATTTTTTACGTTTCCTGTCTTAAAAATTTAATTCATATCACTAAAGAAAATAAACATATGTCTTAATATTTGTTCATTTATTTAGTTTTAATCCCGACCCTTTGTCTACTTAACATTTGTTAAAATATCAGTGTATATAAATTCTGTCTAAACATTTTTCTGATTTATTTTTTGTCTAATTTAAAGTTCTAAAATGGTATCCAACTTTAGAAATATATGAATAAAAAGTATTATAGTATACCACATCAAATTAAATATATTTGATTATTTATAAAAATGTATCGTATGTGCATTGGTATCTACAGCTACACCCTGTGTGGATTATGGATGTATTTGCATGAACACCAACTACCCCTATGTATTATATTGTAAGGGTGCCTCAGTGTTCGTTTAGTATCCGAGGAGGTTAAAAGCATTAAATTTTGATAATTTTGATAACTCACATAATAGTTTCCTATGACCAGAATATTTTATTGATTGTTTATGTGAAAGATGGATCCCATGTCATGGCTTCGACATCCGTCTTGTGTTTACATTACCGCCCAGTGACAGTACTCTGCAGTACAAAAGATGCGTACACCTCTGAAATAAATTTCCTTGCATTAAATCCTTGGCGTGAGGCATGAAATAATGGCAACCTTAAAAAATTAATTATCAAGATAAAAAAGACTTTTAAGTGTTAAGCATAAAACTTGATACACTCCCAAATGTGAATTTAGATTGGTTTCTTTAAAATATCAAAATGTTCTCTGTGTAGAACAGTTTTTTTTCTTTCACCAAATAGAGGAAAACAGCAAAATACAGGTTTACCCACACCGTATGAGACTGCAAAGACGACTTGAAACTCTTAAAATGTGACGATCCCAAATTTAAAATTGAGTCACCTGCCTTGAATACGATCTTTGAATGGCTTATTCAATGGTTTGACAAAGAAAGAAATAAGTTCTATAGTTGCAGGTAATGATGTATAAAAGGACACAGAACGTATAATTTGCGTACAGTCGTCTCTGAAGTATAATCCTTTGTGGGTAACCCTGTACCTTGCGTAACAACCCTTATTTTGTAAGCACTACGCAATATACAGGATAAGTACGCTCAATCTTTAAATAATATTTACAGCATGAATGCTACTCTGCAATGTAATAATAATATTAGAAATAACAAAAAACATCTATTATATTCGATGTGAAAGTTTACTAATCCGATTTAATTCATAACTATACAATTTAACTCAATATAGCCTAGTTTTTTATACATATATATTCTGTACAAATATAGGTCGGCTTACAAAACAGAGCTCATAGTCCTCAAATTAATACATTTTTTTTTCTGTGAAAAAGGAACTAATTACTTGCCACAAACTCGAATTTTCAGTTTCTTATATCATTGCAAGCTATTTTCGTAGACCTTTGAATTCCAATGATCAAATAGAAAAAATAGAAAAATATCAAAGGTTTACTATACCTTAGAATTAGTATTGGTAAGCTCTCTCCACAGAATTTGTGGATAAAAAGTCTATTAATAAACCTTATCAATTTTAAAATGTTTTTATAAGTTACACATCTTATTCATAAACTATATGATAAGCACTTGCTTTACAATAAGAAGGGTTTATAGAGGGGCCTGGGTTAGATGCTATGATCTTACTCGTAGATTTCTCTTGTGTTTATCT